GTTCTGATTAGATGGCAGAGAACAAGCTGAAGACCATTGATGGGAGAGGGGAATGTAATTTTGGGGAAGTGCTCTGCCCCTATCTAGCTGGACTAACGATGCTGTCAAGGTGTCCCCTGATGTCCTGAAGTGGAAGGAGGGGTCTGCACACATTCAAATTATATACCCCAGTACGAGAAAATACCTTCTCTGATGTACATGCAGATCAGTACTGGCAGCACACAGTGACTGTAAGCTCCTCTTCGTTTTAGAGGAGCCAAAAAGAATGAATAAATGGAGGAATGATAAAAGAACAAAATAAGACAAATAAACACAAGACAACCTAAAAAAAGAACAAAATAAAAATCTCTAAAGTTAGTATCAGGAAACCCCCCACCCCCCTACAGACCTGGCGTTTCCCTTCCAGAGATATGTACTCAGGTACATCCCAGTGCCGGGAACATGGCAAAAGCTAAGCACACGACACGGCCTCTAGCCCAAACACAAAGGGTGACATGAGCTGTGCATCTTTTAAGATGGCTACGTTAAAATAAGCTCATAAACCCGTCTGCCTCCTCAGCCAAATAACTGGAGGGGGTCCAGAAAACACCAGCAGCTCAGGGCGGGGAGGGAGAGAGAGAAAGCAGCTGGCTTGGGCGACTGAAGGATGCCCAGATGATAAAAAGGCACCCCAGAATCAGGCCCTTGTGCTCTTCTTCCCTTGGGAATCCTGCCTCCTCGGGACACCTGCGAGCGGCCCCTTCCTCCTCCCAGGAGCGTCTTTCCAAGGGAACTGGGAGTGCAAAGCTAGAACTGAGACAAAAGCAACAAGGCCCGAGTGTCAAAGTGCCACCCTGCACTTGGCAGGCTGCTGGGGGCTCTACCCTCCCGGGGCGCTGCTCGTCCCCTTCTCCACTCCCTTCCTGGCAGGGGGAACGAGCAGCGGGCAGCAGCTGAGGTTTTCTTGCCAGGTGATGACCCCAAAGGGAGCTTCCCAGGCAGCTGCAGGGAGAGGAGGGCAGGGGGTGGGAGTTTTGGCAGGAAACGGGGCCTACATGGTATCTCCCAAAGAATCCGAAGCAAGGAGGGCGTGCGCGCGGATGCTGGGCAGAGGCCAGAGATACTGTCAGCTTCATGTGAGGTTGCTGTGGTGATGGGGGGTGCTTTTGTGTGTTTCTACGAATGGTGTGAAGGGAGGGGGTGAGGACACACACCACAGCATACTCCCCCGTCTGAGGACGTTTGTGATTTGGAGAATGGAAGGCTTCACTTGCCTGTCTTATTGCAGCGGGCAGGACTCGGCTTTCATCGGTTCCAGTCCCCTCCCAACCAGCTGGGCCTTTTCGCCAGCACAGGGCACCCTCTGTCCCACGGGAGTGGAGCGATGGGGGCAGCGGGAGGAACGCCATTTCCAGCGGCAGCGCCTCAGCAGAAGGCCCTCCACTGACCAGCGGTGGGAGGAAAGGGCTTCTGAAACGAAGACCCACCCGCAATAACAACAGCACCCCAGAAGAGGCTGGCTAGACCTCGGGTAGTAGACGTCCCTCCCCACGCCAAGGAATCAGGGTTTGCCTTCAGGGGGTTCCAGTTAGCCAGCATGAGCCCGAATGGGGCCAAGAATGGGCCATTGCCATGGAAGCACGGCAACCGGCCATGTCTGGACTTGTTGGGGTCGAGAACCTACAACAGGCGGAACCTTTCCGAGGCGCCTTCTCCGTCCACGTCCTGCTCCTCGTCCCAAACCCTACAATTAAGCACGGAAGACAAACTCCCTAGTCACAACCATAGAGCCTTTTCCTTTAAGACAAATTGTGAGGGCTTTCTACTCAGAAAGGGTTAACTCTGCACATATGGCCTCTCACAAATCACCAAGAATCAGGGAAAATGGACAGTAGGGCTCCTCTATCTGCCGGATCAGTATCCACAGCTTCATTTATCCACAGTTTGAAAAAAATAAAAATATTAAATGAAAACCAACAGAAAGATGCGTTTCCATGATGTAATTATTAGAAAGGGCCACTAAACCAGAGGCGATGCTATATACTGTATAGGGTTCACTATTATTGACTGGACTCCCAGTGTAGCGTAGTGGATAAAGTGACGGACTAGGTCTTCAGAGAACAGGGTTCAAATCCCACCTCAGCCATGGAAGCTCAGTGGTGGGAGTGGAACTGGTAAAATCACTCCTTAAATCTCTCTTACCTTGAAACTCCTATTAGGGTTGCAGTAAGTCGGTTCTGACTGGACAGCAGAGAAAACACACATTAGTCGTGTTTTTTTCCTGACATCTGCGGGGGCCCTTGGAACTGATCCTCTGTGAATACTGCAGTCCTCCTGTTTTCTTTTGCACAAAAGGGGGTCTTTTCACGAAGCTTTAATGTAAGAGCTTCCAATTTTCTGAGAGTACAGATGGCTGAGCAAAGGTTCTCATGATAAACAAACTTCCCTGTGCCTCCTTAAACACCAACTACTTTGGAAAAAAAGACCAGATTTGTTTAAATGATATTCCCACCCCCCTACAAGCCAGAGGCAGCGATGGAAGGCGTTCAGAAGGCTTTTGGTCCACAACTCCCATCAGCCCCAGCCAGCATCACCTCCAAAGGAGAGACTGTGGGGGTTGCAGACCCCGACATCTGGAGGGCACGACAGCTGCCCTTGCCTGCCTGGAGGAGCAAGCTTGAAAAAGGAGGAAATTCAAAATACTTGTGGGGAAAGAGGTGTGAAGAGGAGTTGGGGGCTTTGAGTGAAGCCACTCATATGTCCCGGTACAGCTTCAGTCCCACCTGCCTGCAAACACCTTTCACAGGGGCCTGATGAGTCGGCATGGTGTCTACAGCAAACAGGGTTTGTTGCCTCGTCTCAATTAAACGACATTTGTCCTCATCTCGTTTTGGAACAGCACAGTGGCCAAAATCCTATGGCTGCTGGTGTAGGTTTGCATTAATGTGCCATAACTAACTGCAGCTAAGTGGCAAGGAGCCCGGGCCCCTCTCGGCTGCACGAACCCGGTGCGCAGCCAAGACACTCTCTGACATCTCTTAGCCCCTGCAAGTTAGAGAAATGCCGGCAGGATTCTGGCCATGGCAACAATTTAAGATTTCTAAGCGCATGTGGAGGTAAGCAGGTTCGGTTCTGATCTCTGCCCACATATGTGATGGCCTGCCTTAGATTCTGTGACAGAAGAAAGGTAGGACATAAAAATGATGAGTACAATATAATAAAACATCAGAAGCATTCCCCAGAATACCCTTGTTATCTTAGCACCCTAAAATATGAACAGATATAAAATTGTGAATAAGTGTGAGACCGAGAGGAAGGTACTTTACAAATGTAAAGCAGAGTTTGAGGTAGCCGTAGAATTAACCAGATCTGGAAATCTGCTCTGAGAACCAGTTGAATGAGTTAGTTAGAACACCAGCATTCCTGGTGTTCGCCTTCTCTTCCATACAGGAATAAAAAAACCACAAGTTGCCCCGAGCGAGCGTTAAGGCAGTCCCACGTGGGATCACGCCTCCTCCCTTCCTCTGATCTTTCAAGAGGGTCGCTGCTCTCTACTGGCTCCCCACCTTCCTGTGAGCCTCTGGGGACCAAATTCAGTCCTTTCCATAGTTCCCGGCAACCCTGTTTTTCTCAGTGAGCACAAACACAAGGGAAGACGTTGTTTCCCTCCACCTGAAGAGCACGACTGAATCAGCTTCTCTACAGGAAACATCCTTCTGGAAGTGAAAGTCTCCGAGCGTTTATATATAAAAATAAAAGGGCCCCATTTCCTGTCTCTTGCGCTGTCCAGCTGGGAATCTGCAAAAGGTGGTCATTGCCTTAATCAGATTCGGGGGAAGACACTATTCCCCGACCCCCTCCTTTAATAACTTACAAGCATCAAGCAGCTGCAGGGTCAGCCCGGTTTGCAATCCATGTGCTCTTGCTGATTACAGCTCTGAGACAAGAGCCTCTTTTCCTGTTTTTGGCTTGTGGGCGATGTTGACCGTTTTAAAATGAGAAGCAGCCACAAAGGCCGAGGCTACTTTTTGAACTCAAAATTCTCCCCCATTTCTATTGAGCTGTGATGTTATTTAGAGACTTCGCCATCAGCTGTGTTTGACTGCAAAAGGGCTTCCTTGTCCAAAGACTGGATGTGTCTGAACCGTAGGCTTGTGATGGAGGAGAAGACTTCTACTCAAAAAACTCCCATTTGCTGAAGGGGCCTATCCTCCCTCCCCCATTGAGAGAGGTTTCAGCCTTAAGACCGCGCACCCATCTATGGGACCATTCAGCTATCCAAGCTGGCCAGAAGTGACGCCGTAGGGTGAGTTTTATTAATGCAGCCCTTACCCTGCAGATGCTTGTCTCATCTAAGGTTACAGAGAACAGAGAAGCACTAAAAACTAGACATGTTCCCTTGCGGTCTCTGTCTCAAACACAGGAACCAGCCCAGGACCAGCTCTGCATCACAAAACCCATGACCCTCACCACAAGCTTCACGGGCTAGGTCTGTGGGAGCCGCAGGTCAACACTGGCAGAGCTGTACCTTCCTCACCCACCCTTTGTATCAGGCTCATCTGCTAGCCAGGTATGATCCAACCAAGCTTGTGACATACAGACGAGGTTACTACCAGGTTGGAATGGGGCTGGGTGAAGCTGCTGCAACCAGCGAGTTTCAAGTGCGATTTCCCTACAGCACCCTTTAGCCCTGAAAGGTCAATTACGACCTCTGTCGGTCCAAACGGGGAAGGCTCAGCTCCACGCCGCTGTTCGACTAAATCACAGATGCCTTCTGTTGCCAGAGGCGTCTCTTTCTGCGCAAGCAACCGGGCTGGGGAACTCCTGCAGTTTACAATTTCCTTCCACTTTCCTCTGGACTGCTTGCGCTTTAGACATTTTAAGTACACATTTCCCCCCACCCCCACTCCCTGCTTTACTTGAGAGAAGCCACAGAGCAAATCCTCCCATAATATCAAACAGTGCTTTGTTTTGTGTGGTCTTTTTTTCTTTTCTTTTTTGGTACAAAATACTTCTAAACAAAAAGTTAAAAACCTTCCTCTATTGTACTGTTGTTTCATTATATAAAATAATCAGTACAAACGAGGTGTACACCGATGCGCGCTAACACCGTCTCTAACATTCACCCATCGGGGTCTGGGTTGCTCTCTCTACCTACACGGACGGCGCAGCGATGGTCCTCTTGACGATTTTTCAGCCAGTTCTTGGATCCAGGTCACTCAGTCTCCTCTAGTGATCAGGTCCTCAATGTAAGCATCTAATTCATCGTCTGTACTGAAGTCTATGTCCTGGAAACACCGAAGGGAGACACGGCATGGCACCTCTTAGAATGAGCGAGCAGACACGCTTCGGTAACAGGCCAAATGCCATCACTCTTCTGTTGCAGTTCAGGGACCCTCCTCCACTTAAGAGTACCTGGCTCTGAGGCAGTGGTCCCCCAACCTTGGGCCATCCAGGTGTTGTTCCTGGACTGCAGAAATCCCAGAAGTCTTCACCTCCAGCTGTGCTGGCCAGGGGGGCGGTTTATGGGCGTTGCAGTCCAAAAACACCTGGGTGACCCAAGGTGGGGGACCACTGGCCTAAGGGGACGTTAAACAACGTCTCTGCCTATGTAATGATAAAAAGACAAGAAGATTCTTTAGAACAGCAAAAACCTAGACACACCAGAAACAACGGCAAGATGCAATGGCTTACTGGGGAAGAAATAGAAACCCACAACCCTTCTACTGGGAATAAGTGAAACAAGGTACAGCGAGAAATTTTTTTGAGTTCTGCAGAACTTCTCATCCGGCTTGCTGTTAATGCCGGAAGGTTTACAACGGCTGCTGTATTCGGCTGGAAGGAAGGAAGGAAGGAAGGAAGGAAGGAAGGAAGAAAGAAAGAAAGAAAGAAAGAAAGAAAGAAAGAAAGAAAGAAAGAAAGAAAGAAAGAAAAAGAGGGAGCAGATTAGCTGGGTTCAGGCTCTCCTAGCCAGGTCCTCTGCTGCACCCTTTCTACGTTTTCATTTAGGGAGAGCAGAAAGAAGCACATGTGATAGGTAAAGGGTTCCCCTTGACATTGAGTCCAGTTGTGTCCGACTCTAGGGCGCGGTGCTCATCCCCATTTCCAAGCCATAGAGCTAGCGTTTGTCTGTAGACAAGGTCAGGTGGCCGGGGAGACTAGACACGGAACGCCGTGACCTTCCCACCGAGGTGGTCCCTATTTATCTACTCGCATTTTTGCATGCTTTTGAACGGCTAGGTTGGCAGGAACCGGGACGAGCGACGGGCGCTCACTACGTTACTTAGATTCGATCTCACGACGGCTGGTCTTCTGACCTTGCAGCACAGAGGCTTCTGCGGTTTAACCTGCAGTGACACCGCTGTGATAGGCAGTTGCCTAAGTCCTCAAACTCTCAGTTTTGTTTCTGCAACTATTAAATTCAGTGGTTACTGCCTTCAGCACAACTAAAGAACCGAGCTAAATTTTTATTTAAATATGGTGATTCACAGAAACCACAAAGAAGAAGCCTGGATACTGCCTTGGAAGAAAGAGGCAGAGAACACATCAAAGTAAGTAAGTATTTTCCCACTTGGTTGCTGACATTTCATATCAAAGCTGTAAATGGTCTGGAAGCCTGGCTGCTCGACTGCTATGGCATCCAGTGGGCTTGTTTTAAAAATAAAGCCAGATTATTAACACCTAGTTTAGCCAGAGGGTGGTTCAAACCTGGTGTGGGGCCAGTGGTTACTGCCTTCAGCACAACTAAAGAACCGAGCTAAATTTTTATTTAAATATGGTGATTCACAGAAACCACAAAGAAGAAGCCTGGATACTGCCTTGGAAGAAAGAGGCAGAGAACACATCAAAGTAAGTAAGTATTTTCCCACTTGGTTGCTGACATTTCATATCAAAGCTGTAAATGGCCTGGAAGCCTGGCTGCTCGACTGCTATGTCATCCAGTGTCTTGTTTTAAAAATAAGGCTAGATTATTAACACCTAGTTTAGCTAGAGGGTGGTTCGGACCTGGTGTTGTGTGTGGTTTAGGGGAGCTCGGGTGAACTGGGAAATGGATCTGCTTCAGGGGCGAAGCCTCACTCACCTCTTGTACTTTCTGAAGGAGAGCGACGATGTTAGTCCTCAGCTTCTGGAGCTTGTCCTTGGTCTCGCTGAGCTTCTGCTCTTGGACGCGAAGCTTTTCCTCACAAGCTTTGGCCTGGGCGTTCGCACGGGTTTGGTAGGAGTTACATAAGTTCTGCAGACCTGCTTCATATTGCTTGAAATATTCTTTCTGTGGGGAGGCAGACGCACAAGTGTCGGCTCTGGGGTTACACAAAAAACGCCACGGATTTCTCCATTTTGTTCATCGTAACAGGGAGCACCTGGGCCATTTTAAAATCTCAGGCTCTCACTTCCAGGCCCAATCCTGATTGATGCTGCAAGTCTCTTAAGCAACAAAAGGGAGTAGGTGTGCACATAGGCGCACATGACTGCACATAAGTTCTGCAGACCTGCTTCATATTGCTTGAAATATTCTTTCTGTGGGGAGGCAGATGCACAAGTGTTGGTTCTGGGGTTACACAAAAAACGCCACAGATTTCTCCATTTTGTTCATTGTAACAGGGAGCACCTTGGCCATTTTAAAATCTTAGGCTCTCACTTCCAGACCCAATCCTGATTGATGCTGCAAGTCTCTTAAGCAACAAAAGGGAGTAGGTGTGCACATAGGCGCACATGACTGCACGTGTCTACTGAACCGAAGAAACACCTGCTTCAGTAAGACAACCTCTCTATATAATTGATTAAGAAGCAACCACTTTTTTTTGTTCTTTATAGAAATCTTGGGGAGAGGATCTTCATTATGGCTTTAAATTTCCCTTTCTCTTCTATGAAGGTGGTGATATTTGCAGAACTGCTACACAGTTCTTTTCCATAAATCCTAAAGTGTTGGTTCTGGGGTTACACAAAAAACGCCACAGATTTCTCCATTTTGTTCATTGTAACAGGGAGCACCTTGGCCATTTTAAAATCTTAGGCTCTCACTTCCAGACCCAATCCTGATTGATGCTGCAAGTCTCTTAAGTAACAAAAGGGAGGTGTGCACAGATGTACATGACTGCATGTGTCTACTGAACCGAAGAAACACCTGCTTCAGTAAGACAACCTCTCTATATAATTGATCCTAGCATTAAGAAGCAACCACTTTTTTTCGTTCTTTATAGAAATCTTGGGGAGAGATTAGAGAGGATCTTCATTATGGCTTTAAATTTCCCTTTCTCTTCTATGAAGGTGGTGATATTTGCAGAACTGCTGCAGTTCTTTTCCATAAATCCTCTATAAGCACAGAGAATTTATGATAGATTTGAGATAGAACACCCCCCTCATCACCCTGAACAGTGGCATAAATAAGGCTCCTGTTAGGGACATGAAAGATTGCAACCCAACCTCTGGCTGTAGTTCTCGCTTCCAATTTCCTGCAGGTGTTTATTGGTTTCCAAGAGCCATGCCGCAAACTATGTCAGGAAGCAAAAAGTCAAAATGAAGGTTTTGCCAGTGGGAGAAGATGCTGAGTGAAAAGCCCGTGCTGCCCTCTGCTGGTGAAAAGGACAGAAGTTGCTCACTGCACACTTTGTCTAATTCAATTTTACAATTCTATGGATATCTTTAAACTGCAAAGCGGCATGTGTTTTAAGGTGTGTTGCTTATATAACACCCCACAGCACTTAAGAACTCTCTGGGTGGTTTACAATTTTAATTGTGCAACCTCCACGCTGCTCCCTTTCCCAGCAAACTGGGTGCTCAATTTATCAACCTCAGAAGGATGGTAGGCTGAGTCAACCTCGAGCCGGCTACCTGGATCTGTTGGGATTGCACTCAGGTTGTGAGCAGTGTCCAGACAACAGAACTGCAGCTTAACCATTGCACCACGAAGCTCCATTTAACAAATAACGAGGAAATTACATGTGGTTAAAAATAGTCAAAATTCAGAGATCCTCTCTCGCTCTTCTCAAAACATAATTCCGTGGAAGATGGGGAATTAAACAAGCCTGGAATTGGGCTGTTTTCTATTCATGACTGATAGAAGTGTGGTTCAGATACCTGGATGCTAAATACTTTGAATGTCTTTGATTGTCTTCTTGTCTGTTAGCACAAAAGATAGCTGCTAACTCTTATTACATCATCAGCAATATTTGGAGGCTGGGCTCCTAAAAGGCCCATTTCAGATATAAAAAGATGATGGTGATGTCAGAGTGAGCGATTTAAAAAGAATATCCTTCTGAATTCATCAGAATGCTATGAGTTAACGGGCCCACAATCTGTATTTCATGAAACTGGAGATGGACTGGAAGAATCGTCCGTGCTAGTCCTGCCCCAGCCCCGAATTTCCCAGAACTTACCAGCGGGAATGACACCAACTCTTCTGAACTCATAGAAGCCAGATCTTTCTTAGAGATGAGGAAATTGGGAGGTAGGAAGTACCGTAAACAATTCCTGCCCAAGCAAGAGAAACAAAAATCAGGCGAGCAGCAAAAGGAGGTGCAATCTGCATCTCTACTGCAGCACAGAAAAAGCAGAGGGCACAAACTCCATGTCCGTGAAAATCTCAGCTCTCCCTGGGACCCCTTTTAATTGAAGGCACAAGTTTCCTGACCTCATAGTCTATGAAGACATGCTTCTGAAGTGTGTGGGCAATATCTGATGGAACTTCAGAGACCAAGAGGGAGCAAAAACTTCAGGGTTCAGCGCAAGTATCTACTTCATGACCAACAGAAGCAGAAAGAATCGTATATGCAGCTGTAGAAGGGGCAGCCATGTTAGGCTGTGCAAGTCTTATCGGTAAAGGCAAGAGAAATAAAAAGTTAAAAAAGACCAAAATAGGGTGGCACCTTAAAGACTAACTTTTTAAATTTTTATTGTGAGCTAAAAGCTCACATTAAAAATATAGAAGTCAGTCTTTCAGGTGAAACCCTGTTTTTTTTTCTGTTTTTTGCTTTCACCTGTAAATTATATACATCCATCAGATTTGACTTAATGAATACAAGCTACAAAGTGCAGACTGCTCCAGTCGGAAGCTGCAGTACTTTTTTCACACCCTCCTCCAAGGCAAAAAGGAACAGAAAGACAGCTAACAGTTCATGACAAAAAAGCAAACCAAGCCAAAATGAAACACACACACACACACACACAAACAACCACCAACCTACCAAAAAAGGAAGCACCGAATGAATGGGTAACATAAAACCAGATATCTGGAAACCCAATTAAGTCCGTAATGACAAAACCTCTCAGGAGGAAAGCAAAGGGACTCACCGGAGTGACTGGGCTAGCAAGTCTACGGTCTCCTGGCTGCTGGCAGCACTGGTGGTACTGCTGGAGCCAGTGGTGTCTGGCTCCGTGTGGACACACTCCGAGGTAGAAGGTTCATCCAG